CTCTCTCTCTGCAATAAATTTTTTTTTTGCTGAAATGATGTGTAGCCCTACACAACTGCGTATCTGCATATCTGCGCCTAACAAAGGTGTCACTACGCACGACTTAAATGTTACGTTTATAACCGTAGCAACAGACCTCAGATGAGCCCAGACGCTCTGCGGCTCTTGTTAAAATAGATGAGGATTATATTTAGCAGTGGAAAATTATCCCATGAAAACAACTGATGAATGTAATATTTAATTTTAATTGTAGGTTTGTAATCGTAGATTATGAGCAACATTCACACTCACCGCATAGTGCCAGTTTCATTCCAACTTCCACATTCCTTACATTGGGGGCCAGAACTCCAGGGGTATCTAGAATGTACGTCAATGGCTCATCACAGACCTTACGTTACAAAAAAGAAAAAAACCATTATGGTATATGCTTGTTGTATTGTTGCTAGGATTCACAACTGAAAGGACAAAGTTTGATAATCAGAAGATTCTTTGAAGGTTTAATAACTACAGTGTAATAAACACTGTAATAGTGTTACAGTGTAATAGTACAATGTAGGTAATTATAATAAACGTGTGGGAGTATATTTTAAAGGTAATATGGTTCATTTACTGGAACTAATGAACTCCCCCCCCCCAACCTGCTTCTAACTGCTAACAAATTTACATGGCTGTGAATTTTTATTGAGGAGCCCATTGCTGGTGATACATTTGTTATGAGAACTCACACTCTATTTAACTTCTACTTCAGTTCTTTATGTCCATAATTTCTAACTTGCCATTGATTATAGATCTGTATTTGTAAAAGCATATCCATTCCAAAATGAAAAAATAAAAGCCTCACCCTAATTTTTTCTAGTACACTTCTGGTAACTCCTGCAGTTGGACCTACTTGGGTAGCCTTTCCTGTGGAAGGATTTGTAATGCTTTCATTTGTTCATGTAAAGGTAATTCAAAAGAGAATGCTCTAAAAATATATATAATTAGTCTGTATTGGTCCTGGACCACTGGACAATTCAACGCATATAAAATACAATTTATGTTTCTATTTCCAGTTTTACTCATTCATGAGGAGTACGTTGTATAGTGTATACAGACTCTATATGGAGAGATTCATATTATAGACTCCTTCACATATATATATACATTATATATATACATTTTATAGACTCCTTTACATTAACATTTAATGACTATAACCTTTTTGTTAACTGCACATGTAGGTATGCACTCATTGTAGGGTGAGAAAAAGTACCAAACTTTAAATTGCGTTACAATTACATGATTTTACCCTGAATAGTATAATGTGTCTAATATAATAATACGTACCAGCTCTCAAGTATTTGTGCCGTATTGCATTCGTCAGTGATGACTTGCCAACATTAGGAACTCCGCACACGAGAACATTGTAATCTCTGTTCTGTAACAGAATAAATGCGATGTAACATATATATTTATGCCAAATGCAATCATCACTGAATAAACAAGTAATTTCAAACATACATTTGAATAAGTAGCTGATGTGTTAAACGATGTTTTGTGATGCATATTATGACAGAAAGTCGTGGATTTATTTTCAATGCATTTGGATCATTCGTACCTCTGCTCTGTGATATCTGCCTGCGTCGTGGATTAATTCTTGTATACTTGGCAAAATCTGTAAATAGTACATGTGTAATATCGACACTGACAATAGAAAGTTCCGACATACTCAGCATAATACACAACACTATCGGAAGTGTTGCAGGGCGATATAAACTACCACTTCGTTAAAAGCGTATGAAGCGTAGGTGGCCAACGATTGGGTACTGCGAATAACTTGCCTTTTTGATGATGTTAGTTGAGTCATGCTTACAATCAGAAAACAAAACCCTTGAACAACCATCTCTTTTCAACTTGTCCACAACCTGCTTTCTGCATGACATATCTGCTAAGTCAGCCTGCAGCAAAGAACGTGCAGTCATAAATATAATAATAGCTCGCACACATTATTACTACCTAGTGGCATACCGAGTACTACAACTTTTTCTGGTATATATATAGGTTCATGATATAATGTACAGATGAAAACACGTACTATCTTTGTCAAAATCACACAAATATTTTGTTAAAATAATAAAATAATATATTTACTTTGCATGTTGCCGACATTTAATTGCTACTCACATTACCTTGTTTAGTATAAGTATCTTTGGTCTTCCACCAATTGTATACTCAAACTCGGAATTTCTACCAGAGAATGGAATTCTTGAATCATGAACTTCAATGATGCAATCAACATTCTTCATTACAGCCTGCATTCTTTTTAGCCCTGTTTCACATATAAACACATTTTTAATATATACCATATATTTTTCGCAGTGGCTACGGGTACGGTAGCCGTCGGTCGTTGAAGCCCCTTTTTGGCGTTAGGGTTAGGGTTAGGGTTAGGATTAGGGTTAGGTTTAGGGTTATGGTTAGGGTTAGGTTTAGGGTTAGGGTTAAGGTTCTAGCTCATCTAAACTCTCAAATCGTGAATTTATTTCCCAAGGCGTTATTTCGAAATCTGGCGCGACCGCCGCCATCTTTGTCTCGTTAAGTATGAAAACGAATGGACTCCCGTACCCGTAGCCTCGAGACATTAAGATACGGGTACCGTACCCGTAGCCACTGCCTATATTTTTTCTACACATTTATGCGATTGTAATATTAATAAAATTTCTATGATAAATTGAAATAAGTAATTGACCATGCATGAGGGGGTCAATGCCCTTTTCGTACGCCGTACGCCGGATTCCGCCTATATTTAGAGAGTATTCCGGTACGCCGAGGTGCGGTACGGACCGTACGCGGCGATGACCAGCTATAACGTTATTCCGTAAGCGAAATAATTCGATATCATAATCGGGGGATTGTGTTTTTTTCTGAACTTTTATCCTGCCCCATTTTATTAATAAATGTTGGATCTATTTACCCCTGCTAAACTGCGAAACGAGACCTGTTCCCCGACGTAAGGACCGTGCGCGAACAGCGGGAAGTCAAGTCGCAATCCAGTCGGGCTGTACCAGTCTAATGTTAATGAATGTATACAACCGGAACTTAATGCCCCTTGTCGTGGGCTTGTTGCATCTAGGACCGATTTAGCCATTTACACGCTTTTTGCTGTGATGAAGTGTTGAGAGGCCCGCAATATATACTATACTACCCAGCCGCGCCAGATTTAGATGGGGGCCACAATCCGGCCCGTGCCCCCCCCTTTGAAACAAAAACTAAAATAAAAACCCAAATTACATTATTAAAAAAAAATTACAAAATTACAAAATTGCAAAATTAAATTTTTCTCAATTTCATTGTTGTAAATAAGGTTACACAAGCATGAGGTTCCAGTCAGAAATTGCTGACATCAATGACCCATTTTCCATGTTTAACATAACTATTCAAATTTCGTTCAGTCATCTTCTAGAATTTCCTGCCAAAGAAAAACAATGCTCAGAAGTCATTACAAGAATTTTGATTTTTCTACATTGTTTAGAATATATTTCTGGCCTGCAACTGTATATTTCATAACATGTATGTAAACCGGATGTTTTCATTAGGAAGAAAGGTAACTAATTTTTATTTTGGGCTTCTTGTAATGCACATAGACTCATACTAAATACAAACATTCTTCAAGCTTTGAAATATATTCAAGTATCACAAGCATTTTTTTTTTAAATTGCCATATTTTTGCTCTAAGCCTGGCATTAGTTATTTGATATGTGAATGTGCTTTCTGTAATACCACATGATCATGTCAGCAAAATATATAAGGTTTAAAAACATTTCAGGTAATGATATATTTCTACGGTACAATTTGAATAAGCTGTGAACGGATCAGGGTATTGCGGTGCAACGGCCTCCCTCAGCAGGGTGAAATGTGCATGAATTGCGCGCCCCCCGCAGCCATACCGAAAGGTTGTCACGCCACGTCAAATTTAACACATAAATGATTGCTGCCATATGAGTTAAAATACCCTCACAGTATGCACCAGAGCTGCCCCAACATTTAAGCCTAAAAAAAGTGCCAAAAGGTCGTGTCCCCCAGGCGGCAGTGCTACAGGGGTGGTCAGGGCGTCACGCTGACCCCCTGTGCTAGCCGGCAGAAAACGCATCTGAGCGGGGTCTAATTTTAAAATTTTTCTGGGGGCAGGGCCCCCCAGACCCCCCTTCGCGTCCTCGTAAGTATGCGGTTACGGTTAGACACCCCCCTGTCCAAATTCCTGTACACCGCCCCTGCCACGCCTCACTCCGGCTTCCTGCCTCAGCGCTTGTCGGCTCCCTCTCTCGCGTACATCCCCCACATTTAAGCTACATATTGCTCATTTGGTGGCCCCCTCTTTTTGAAATTCTTGGATCCGCCCCTGGTACTACCACTACCAGTAGTAGCATCACACAACCCAGAAGCAGGACAGGAAGGCAAATCAAATTCAACAGCAGATTTGCCGACTTCTGGGCATAAAGTCTGACCTTTTCTTCAATTATTTGCCTCTAACAAGCATGACATTAAGATGTATTTATTGCTTACCTAATAAATAGTGTGCATGAATAAAGGTTAATCAAATGTTGTGTATTGGACTATTGGTTACTGTTTGCTTATGTAATTATTCGGTGGCTGCCTGGCAGGTTAAATAGTAATTCGAAGATGCCAGCCCAAAATTATGGAGTATTCCACGATGTCCACTAGAAAATTAGAGAGTATTCCGGATAGCCAAGGGGGGGGGGGGGCCATGGACCCCCTCATCGCATGATCATGATGGTAATGGACTATGAATATATAGTCATTATGATATGTATATTCATCATTATTATATTCACTATTCAGTATGATTGTCAAATCTACATGTATTTCTGAATGAATTTTACCCAACCCCCCCCTCTTGCACTGTGCCAGGAACCAATTCCGTTACATCTTTTTTTTCTTTTCACTAGCAAAATGTAAAAAAACATTTCTGCTGAATGTCTTTTGAAGCTATTGTCCATCGGGCTGCGAAGCTAAAAATTCCAATATGAATATTTCACGCTTTCCTTTACAAGTAACTACTCCGCAGTGCACTAGTACTGAGTGTAGTAGCTACTAGTAGTAGTACTAGTACTAGAGTATAGTAGTACTACTACTACTACTAGTACAGTAGTAGTAGTAGCCACTGTAATGTTTGCAACTTGTTTAAACATAAAATAAATTATAACGTCGTTTCAGATAAAGAGTGATGCAAAAGGTTGCTTGCTCATAAAGTCAGTGCTAACTACACGCAAAAAGTTTATATAGTAGTATGATAATTACGAGTAAAAAATATTAGTTAAAGCCGGAATGCTTCAATGCAGTTAATAATTCAACTTATAATGGTCACACTATATTCACTCTTCTTGAATAGGGCGCAGACATATTACTTTTTTAACAAGTGAACAGTCTTAAACAAGTCGCTTGTACGTGCTAGTACTACCTCATAATTGAAGAAACGCTAATTGTGTGTAATCATTTTAATTTTTTTTCTTCGTAAATATTAAATAACCGGTTTCCTCGTTTGAATGCTTATGGCGTATAGCTAAAATGTAATAAATGGGAACCAAACGCGGAAACCAAATATTTGCACATAGAATGGCGCTAATAACACAGGTTGGGCATAGACTGGTACTCGCTTCCACTCGATTGCTCCCATCGAGTAACTAAAGCCGCGAGGTGGGACATTAA